CGGAAAGTCCTACACCCGAGGATTTTCCAAAAATTGGTACGAACGAAAAAATAACATTGCCACTCAACTGGATGAGGGATACAGGCTAGCTGTCCGCCGCCACAACGATGAGGTTAGTGTTGATAATCACAAGTTTACTGGAGAACTGAGACCAAGTAGAGACTTTGGACAGGGTGGATATGGTATAATAAAGGCAGTTTATTCAGAGGTAAAGATATCTGGAATCGCGTGCACGGACCCGTTCGTCAAACTCTTAGGGAGCTACATATATTTTACATCCTGGCCCTACATAGTTCACTATTTGCATCACTTACCAAAATATTACATGTGGTCATATATGCTTGGAAAGTGGAGATGCCATAGAACGTCAAAAAAGTAAACATTGCTGGAGACACATTGCCGTTTTGGAGAAGACATCGCGTTTGCTAGCGAAGAGATTTGTTGTGGCAAATGAACTTGGGCTGGGAATTGCCAGGAACCTCACGATAAGATATATGCATTGCGAGTCTCATGATTCTATACGTATTGCGATTCGATACTGTGATTTTATTGCGCACCATATGTCTGTTGCAGAGGGATCAGAAAGCCATGAGAACGAGTTTTGATCAGTCATGGAAATAAAAGTGCTGAAAACAAATTGGCTCCCAATGTGAAAAGATTGAGAACAAGCTATGAAGGAACATTAATGGTGTTTTGGTGCAGGTACAGCCAACTAGCGCTAAAATATTGCGATATTGTCAATACAGTATATCGTAAAGTATCACTATGTAACTCGATTTCTTTCACCCCAATCCCTCGAATTAACGGTAAATAACTGAATTGTTTGCCCCACATTTAGCTAAGATGATTAGCTAGCCAGCTAAAATGTTTTATTTAGTTAGCAGTCACATCTACAATAGTTTACTGTCAATAACATGTCTCCAAAAATGACGTGGTGTCTCCAATTGTGTTGACATTTTACAATTGCGATGCGCATCCATGAGTATCCACTTTCTGTAGCTCAGCTGGTAGAGCACGGCGCTTGTAACGCCAAGGTAGTGGGTTCGATCCCCGGGACCACCCATACACAAAAATGTATGCACGCATGACTGTAAGTCGCTTTGGATAAAAGCGTCTGCTAAATGGCATATTATTATTATTATTATTATTATCTGAAGAGAGCCCCGAAACATTGTGTGCAGACATTTTATGCAATAAATGAAGTAGGTTGAATCTAGTAGTTCTGATCTTCTGATTGGTCCTGATGAGTTGGGCGAGGTCCCCTCCAGGCTACTGTCACTGTTGCATTGGCTCTGAGTCGGGTTCTCTGTCTTCAAATGTTCAGCCTAAGAGAGGGGATTTTTGTGTGTGTGTGTGTGTGTGTGTGTGTGTGTGTGTTTAACAGTGATGATGTGTGTGTGTGTGTGTGTTTAACAGTGATGATGTGTGTGTGTGTGTGTGTGTGTGTCCTCAGAGCAAGAACTCGTGAGTTGGAAGAACTGAGAGGCCTATGGCGTGGGTGTTGTCCTTGGCCACCTGCTGACAAGGCTGACAAGATAGGACCCTTTTGTCCATTGTTATTGGATAGGAACAGAACTTATAACCAGCTCCTGACCTAAATAGATCTTAGCACAACATTTTACTTAACATATCATATTCCATATTCACTATAACAAATATATTTACTACGACATTAGCAAGAACCGCCACATCCTCAGCCGGCTAATCCAGTGTGTGAAGTTTTGCGGAGTGTTTGAGTTAGCTTTGCGAGGCAAAGATGAAACTGAGGGCTCCACCAACCCTAGTAAGCCAACACTTTTGAGATCAGTCAATAAATGCTTCTGGTATTGACTTATATGCTGCCCCTGTCTTCATGTTGTTGCTGGACATATCTTTTTTTAAATGTGTGTAGGTCACCTAAATCATCAGAAAAATTGCCCCCCCTGAGAATTTTTTCAGGAGCCGCCACTGGCTTTGATACTTATTGTCCCTTGTTATTGACTAAAGGAACACAGAGTAGGCTATCGCATACATAGTGTGTTGTCTCATGGCCCTCCTTCGAGGCTACATATGTAACCAGACATTTACTTGTGTTGTGATATTTTATGCATTTGCAGGAACAATATTCAATATCAATGGATGTAGCGTAATTCCTGGAAAGAAACTACTTGCGACAACCCCATTTCCTATGAAGCAGAAATGTTCTACCCCACCATAAAATCTACAATAGCATTGAAAGCTGATTGAGTTCGCGCAAAGAGGGAGGGAGAGAACGAGACATTAATCTTTGTACGTTTAATAAGAAAAAGGGCTCTATTCAATCCGCATCGACGAAGTTCAGTTTTACAGTGTGATCAAAATTTAATGGCAATGTTCCCGCTTTAGCAGAACTGCATTCACGGTAAATGCTGCATGTCGGCTCAATCTGAAATTACCTTTACATCGTGGAATCTGTAACACTTCAGCTTTACAGATTGAATATTGAATAGAGCCCTAAAAATTCAGGCAGGATCATACAGCAGTGTTCTGAACATGACGAGCCCAACACACACAACGGGTCCCTGAACACAGGCCCATGGTTAACTGGCAAGAAAAATACACAGTTAAGCTTTCTCATATTTTTTTAATTCAAAACTTTATCTCAGGACATGTTACCTCGTCAACAATTAGAGTATTGCATGATCTGATTTTGTTACATACAAAAGAACTGTCAAATTTGTATGGCATCACAGTTGAAATAACTAACAAAGAATAGTTTGTATTGGAGGTCTGGTAAATCCAAAAGTTAATATGAATGATTTACAAGGAGGCCTATCCAGCTAAAACACATTTAGGGAACAAATAACATTCTGCCATTACACACTTTATAAAGGAACAAACAAAAGCAGAATAAAAATGGAAGAACACAAGTGGAGAAGAATCAGGCGACCCTGGTTCATGACATTGTCTGATTCTACTAAGCACAGTCTCGACTGAGCTAGATGTTTTCCTTGTTTAGTGATGAGATCATATGTATTGTTTATACAATTACCACAGAGTACACTGACCTCATGAACCGGTCACTGGCCTTCAGAGTAATGCCATTACAGACTGAAAACTGGAGCTGGGAGAAACAGAGACAAACATTAAAATGGCCCTATTTGAATTGTGTGTTTTACTACAGTGATAGCTAGCGTTACAAGATAAAAGTATACTGGTTTAATGGAATAACTGCTTATAATTTCTTGAAACGGCTAGATGCCAAGATAATACACATAGTAACTGCCACGTTTTACCGATCCTCTTCCCTGGTGCTTGTACACAACAGACTGATGATAGGGAAAGTCAGATTAGTCACAGACAATGAAGTGCCCCGAGTTTCAATTAGCACAGATTCTGCTGTTTGTTTATGAGAAAATGTATGTATATGTTGGTCTACGACGATATGTGTGTGTGTGTATGTGTCCCTCTACGGTATTAAGGCACAGTACTGCCTACCAGTCAGACGTATAGGTCTGGGGAACACAATAATTAGCCCCCTCTTCTACAACTGGTGCTCCAAGTCACTGTTCTAACCAGAAACCTTCCCTCTGGACTTTTAGGTGCTAGGGACTACAGGCTTATCTCATACCATTTGCATAGCCTTCAATATGACATTGTATCAATTTACTTATGCATCTATCAATTGCTTACTACAGTACATTTTCTGCATAGTATGGATGAGGGGGAATTTAAGGTCGGCTGCAATGAAAAGGCCAGGATTTCTTTTTGAGAATATAGACGTATTTACAGATCTGGTCTATGAAAACGCAAACAGTAATATATTATAAATACCCATATTTTTTTCCTTTGCCAATATTACACTCTTAAATACAGTACATCTCAAATCACATTAACTCACAATTCATTTTGAGCAACTAGGCTATTTACAGCCGTTATAAAGCACTACATATGAATGCTCTAGACACACTCTGCCCACTTTGTCCTCTGATGAAATGAAAAAGAAAACATGCCCACCGCATCCATCTGTAGAGAATCAGAGGCCTGGACTTAGCCCTCTTGTACCATATCAGTGCTCATCTCAGTGGAATTAGGGTCCAAACAAGGTTAAGTCAGTAAAAACTACATTGTTGAAACTTTCAACAGACACTTAAGTGGTGCCATTTGGTTTTTTCTCCCTGACAAAACGTGTTAAATAAAATGTCCCTCATTGGTGGGGAGGGAAAATCCTGGATCTGACCAATGAGGAACTACACAAATTAAGGACATCGGAAAACTGAAGCTGCATTCAGACATTTTCTCTAACCAACCGTGTAGCTCAGAATTTGAGGGGGTAGGGACGGGGAATAGATACTCTTATTCACAGATTTGGTCTACGAAAACACAAACAGTAATATATTATAAACACTAGCCATACTGTACGTCAAATAAAATAAAGCACATGAATTCAGCGCTGAGTATAATGCCATTATTTAGCCTAGATCACATGCAAGATATGTTGAGGACTTCTCTGCTTCAAGGCAGACATTTTTAATAGATCTGAATATGAAAAGGATGAATAAACTGTGAGGGCAAAGCTGAGACTAAACTCCAATTCTAAACCAATACAAAATGACCATTCATTTCTATTAGCAGTGGTTTGATGGTACAGGACTTGTGATGAGAGACAACTTGTTCCCCGCATCACGCGTGAAGATCACATTCACTTCCTTGAGTTGCACATTATCTTGCATTAACTGGGTTGTGTTCATTAGGCATCAAACTTGTCCGATAAAGAAACTGGTTCTCCATTGGAAAACATTTGTAACTTTTTGGTTGTGTGCCCTAATGAACACGACCATGGTCTAAACGTAGCTTCAGGTCAGATACGACGATACCCAGATTTGATCTTCAAAACAAAATCTCTACAGAGGACTGGATAAGTGGCATATTGGCCCTTGGTGTGGTAGTGTTTACAGAGAGAAAGACAGAGCGGAGGATAATAGACAGGAGAGCCCATTAGTTGTCGAACAACAGACTGGGTTGTGTGATGTGCTCAGAGGTCAGTGGCCGTTCATGATCTTGTTGGATGTCGTCGTGGACGTGCTGGCGGTGGCTCTGAAGAAGTTGTCCTCTTTGAGTTTGAGGTGTTCTGGGAGCTCCAGGTTTCTCTTGGCCTCCTCGATATCGTGGTTGATTGCTGCTATGAGGGCGTCTGAAAACACAGAGACAGGAGTAAGAATGTGTGGCCATAGGTCTCTGAGGATTGCTGTGTCTGTACAAGGATGGGGGAAAGTGTGTGAGATAGAGAGATATATATATATATATATATATATCTCTCTATCTATATACAGTGGGGAGAACAAGTATTTGATACACTGACAATTTTGCAGGTTTTCCTACTTACAAAGCATGTAGAGGTCTGTAATTTGTATCATAGGTACACTTCAACTGTGAGAGACGGAAACTAAAACAAAAATCCAGAAATTCACATTGTATGATTTTTAAGTAATTAATATGCATTTTATTGCATGACATAAGTATTTGATCACCTACCAACCAGTAAGAATTCCGGCTCTCACAGACCTGTTAGTTTTTCTTTAAGAAGCCCTCCTGTTCTCCACTCATTACCTGTATTAACTGCACCTGTTTGAACTCGTTACCTGTATAAAAGACACCTGTCCACACACTCAATCAAACAGACTCCAACCTCTCCACAATGGCCAAGACCAGAGAGCTGTGTAAGGACATCAGGGATAAAATTGTAGACCTGCACAAGGCTGGGATGGGCTACAGGACAATAGGCAAGCAGCTTGGTGAGAAGGCAACAACTGTTGGCGCAAATATTAGAAAATGGAAGAAGTTCAAGATGACGGTCAATAACACTCGGTCTGGGGCTCCATGCAAGATCTCACCTCGTGGGGCATCAATGATCATGAGGAAGGTGAGGGATCAGCCCAGAACTACACGGCAGGACCTGGTCAATGACCTGAAGAGAGCTGGGATCACAGTCTCAAAGAAAACCATTAGTAACACACTACGCCGTCATGGATTAAAATCCTGCAGCGCACGCAAGGTCCCCCTGCTCAAGCCAGAGCATGTCCCGGCCCGTCTGAAGTTTGCCAATGACCATCTGGATGATCCAGAGGAGGAATGGGAGAAGGTCATGTGGTCTGATGAGACAAAAATATAGCTTTTTGGTCTAAACTCCACTCGCCGTGTTTGGAGGAAGAAGGATGAGTACAACCCCAAGAACACCATCCTAACCGTGAAGCATGGAGGTGGAAACATCATTCTTTGGGGATGCTTTTCTGCAAAGGGGACAGGACGACTGCACCGTATTGAGGGGAGGATGGATGGGGCCATGTATCGCAAGATCTTGGCCAACAACCTCCTTCCCTCAGTAAGAGCATTGAAGATGGGTCATGGCTGGGTCTTCCAGCATGACATCGACCCGAAACACACAGCCAGGGCAACTAAGGAGTGGCTCCGTAAGAAGCATCTCAAGGTCCTGGAGTGGCCTAGCCAGTCTCCAGACCTGAACCCAATAGAAAATCTTTGGAGGGAGCTGAAAGTCTGTATTGCCCAGCGACAGCCCACTGTATGTATGTATGTATGTATGTATGTATGTATGTATGTATGTATGTATGTATATCTCTATATATATATATATCTCTATCTCTCTCACACACGTACACCAGTACTCACTCTTACCAAGCGAATCATAGCTCCTCTCTGGACGGATGTAGCCCACCATGACTACACTGAGGATCTGTCCATAGAAATCTTCTTTAAACGTGTGGATCACATGAGTCTCCTGCAATACACGTCAATCAATAAAAGTCTGAATCAATAACCATCAGCACGTGACCACTACAAGTCCCAATAAACATACATATTAAGAAAAACAAAGCAGTCAACACAATCACAAAGTCTGATTCTCTTCAGAAAACACATCATATCCACCACAAAACAAGTCAAATAAGCATGTTTACACTAGGGTTGGGCATGTATACAATCATTTTGAAATACCGGCGGTATGATAATAAATGTCAAATAAATACCTGCAATCAATGTGTGCACTGGTTGAAAGATAAAGCTACTTTGTATTCCCCAACGCAGTGAGTGTCATCTTCTGTCACTGTTCACAAACCTATATATTGAAATAGGTCTTTGACTAGCCATAGTCACGGCACTACTTCCACTAAAATGTCTATGGCAGGGACGTTACTAGTTAACAGAGCCAGTCATAATTATGGCTAAACCACACTCATTTCTACAATCTCTCTTAAAATTGTATTTTAAACCTAACCATACTGCTAACCCTATGTCTAAACCCTAACCTTAAATGATGACCAAAAAGTTAGCCAACTTTGTGGCTGTGTTAACTAGTGACGACCCTATGGCAATGCTTGTGGAGATGGGTATAACGTATACCGGCATAATACCATATAAGGTAGTATGACATCATACCGGGATAATGCCGTATATATGGTAGTATGGTATATGGTAGTATGGCATAAGGAAGGTATGACAATCTGGATACTGTCCAACCCTAGTTTAGGTGATGCATAGTATGAATATTGAATAGCATGAATAAGTATATGAGTGACTATTTGTAGTCATGGCAATATGATATACATTGAAAGCTATGATCCCATATTGATGTCACTTGTTAAATCCACTTCAAATCAGTGTAGATGAAGGGGAGGAGACAGGTTAAAGAAGGATTTTTAAGCCTTGAGAAAATTGAGACAAGGATTGTATATGTGTGCCATTCAGAGGGTGAATGGGCAAGACAAAATATTTAATAGGAGTGGGCGATATACCGGTTTGATAGTAAAAACCGGTATTGTGCCGCGCCATGATATGGATTTAGCAATATCATGGATACCGCGATTTATTCAGAATTCATAAATTCGAATTTTGCATCAATATTTTTTTGTTCCAAATTTCAACTGAGTGATAGTACTAAGTAGCTACATCTTTTTTTTTTTTTTTTTATCCAACCTTTCTTGGTTCTTACGAATAAAAGAATGTATGTTAATATGTTGACCTATTTTTATGAGCGCACGTCGCATGCACTTGTTGCACGCATGTAGTGCTAGCAACAAAGAAGTGTGCAGGCAGCTGCAGTTAGGAGGCAGGTTAACTATTGGGGGAAAACTTTACAATCCAGGATGAGCGAAAACACAGAAATTGATGTTGCTCAAGAGCAGGAGGATAAATTGGTTAAGAAGAAAGGGGGCACCTCTGTTGTTTGGAACTGGTTTGGCTTTAAAATCTCCGACCCCGACCAAAACACTACCCTATGCAAGTTGTGTCGTCGTGTTGTCTTAGCAAAAGGTGGAAACACGACCAACCTGTTCAATCACTTAAAAAACATACATGTCCGTGAGTATGAACAATGCACCAGAATGCGTGAGACAGTAAGCCCAGGAGCTCGCCCGAAGACAAGCCAGACTCGCACTCAACAATCAATTATATCATCATTTGCTGCCGGTACTTGCTATGAGAAGACGAGCAAAAAATGGATAGACATCACAGCTGCGATTACAAATCACATAGCGAAGGACATGGTACCGATTCAAACTGTGGAGAAAGAGGGGTTCAGAAAGTTGATTCAAACTCTGGACCCAAGATATGAGATCCCGAGCCGCAAATATTTTAGCCAAAAATGCCTGCCACAGCTTTACACAGAATGCTGGGACAGAGTTTACAGTGAGATAAATAACATTCCATTCTTCTCCACTACTGCCGATCTATGGTCAAGTCGTACCACAGAACCTTATATAAGCCTCACAATCCATTACATAGACGGTGACTGGAAACTGAAAAGTAAGTGCCTACAGACGTCTTATTTCCCAGACGACCACACCGGGGAAATAATTGCAGGTGGGCTGAGGGACATACTGTCGTCCTGGGGATTAAAAGAGTCGCGTCAAGTTTGTATGACGACCGACAGCGGATCGAACATGATCAAGGCATTGCAGCTGAACAAGTGGGCAAACCTTGGATGTTTCGGACACAGGCTGCACAATGCTATTGGTAAGTTTCAGGACTGTAGCCTAGGCCTACCCTGTATGATGCTTATTATTAAGAAAAAATACAGCTCACATCAGCCATGTACCGTAGGCTAAATCTAAGCACATCAGATTTGTAAAATGTGTAACAGTTGAATGTAAATGCCGTAAATCCTCAAACAAAGATTAAAAGTTATATTGTATTGTGATTTCTATATAAAAATGCATTATTATTAATTATTATTGTATTGTGATTCGATTATTTTTCACCCTATTATTTTGATTTCTTATTCCCAATTTCCAGAGAGGAGTGTCCAAAACGCTCCCGGGCCACAGGGGTGTGCGATTTCCCGGGCCACAGGGGTTTGCAAAAAGGTGGTTAGCACGTTCTCATACAGCTGGAAAAAGCAGAAGGCCCTGATGACAGCACAGAATGAACTAAGCCTGCCCCTGCACAAGCTCATCACAGAATCTCCGACAAGGTGGGGATCTCGTCTGAAAATGATGGAAAGAGTCCTGGAGCAGGAAAAGGCCATTACACAGGTCCTGGCAGGGGACAAAAAGACACGGCACCTTGTACCTACCTGGCAAGACATCCAGGTATTGGAATCAGTCACAGCAGCACTGAAGCCACTCCAGGACTTTACAGATGCCCTGTCAGGAGAAGCGTATGTGAGCGTGTCCTATTTGAAGCCTGTCATCAATCTGTTAAATGCAGAGGTTCTAAATCTGAGCAAGGACGATACAGAACTGACCAAAGAGATCAAGATCAAGGTTCTTGATTACTTGAATAACAAGTACACTGACCCTGCAACAGATGAGCTGCTCTCCATGGCTACCTTTCTAGATCCAAGGTTCAAGACCAGGTACATGTCCGCTGAGAAACTGGAGGACATTAAGGTATTTATTCATTTGTTCTTGTTTTATTGCTTCAAATGTAAAGCACTTTGGGCTGCATTTTATGTATGAAAGGTGCTATACAAATAAAGTTTAATTATTTTCATTTTTTAAGGTGAGAGCTGCCTCAGAGACCGAAGCCCTCCTGGTGGAGAACACAGCCCTGGGAAAATCGTCTCTTGCAGAGGATCACACTGACAGGGAGAAAGAAGCTTCCACTGCTCATCAATCAGGCAAGAAGCCCAAGAAGAGCCTTGGGAGCTTCTTTAAGCAGACCAGCAGTGCACCTGCCTCATGTTCAGAGAGGCAGATCATTGAGCAAGAGCTGAATAGCTACATTCTGGCAACGGCAGCAGACAGCGAGTCTGATCCTTTGGAGTGGTGGCGATTTCACGGATCTAATTTTCCACGTGTGAGTTGTCTGGCAAAGAAATACTTATGCATCCCTGCCACAAGTGCCCCCTCTGAGAGGGCATTCAGCACTGGGGGCAATGTGGTGACATGTCACAGGGCAGCACTAAAGCCAGAAACAGTCAACATGCTGGTATTCCTGGCACGGAACTTGTGAAGAAAGTTCTAGTGAAGATTTGTTGATATTGTTGATAATTGATGGTTGAGGCTTGAAAGGTTTAGTTTCAAACGGTTAGTTTTTTACATATCTACGGACCGTAGCCAAAACAAACACACGTATTTGAATTTGTAATTACCTTATTTTCTTTATCTCCTGTTATTTTTTATTTAATTTTACTTAATATCTAATTTATATATATATATATATATATAGGCCTACCTACCTCATGTTTACGGAATGCATGTTTGCACAATACAAATAAAAACTTTTCAGGTCCATACGGTCCAATGCCTCACTCTTTCTGGTTATATAAGGTTCAAATACATATTTTTCCTTAACTAATATAATTTAACCAAGAAGGGATATTAAAATGTGATTCATATTTTTTTACGTCATATATCGTGATATCATATCGATATCGTCTGGACAGTGGAAAATATCGTGATATGAATTTTAGCTCATATCGCCCACCCCTAATATTTAAGTGCCTTTGAACGGGGTATGGTAGTTGGTGCCAGGCGCACCGGTTTATGTCAAGAACTGCAATGCTGCTGGGTTTTTCACGCTCAAAAGTTTCCCGTGTGTATCAAGAATGGTCAATCACCCAAAGGACATCCAGCCAACTTGACAACTGTGGGAAGCATTGGAGTCAACATGGGCCAGCATCCCTGTGGAACGCTTTCAACACCTTGTAGAGTCCATGCCAAAACAAATTGAGGCTGTTCTGAGGGCAAAAGGGGGTACAACTCAATATTAGGAAAGTGTTCCTAATGTTTGGTATACTCAGTGTATATAGGCCAATATACTTTTATAGACTATATGGGTGGGCGAGCTGGACTTGCCATGGATTTCTTGGTGTTCTTGTAGTAGGGGTTCCAGCCGATGCTCATCACCATCTTGTGGATGTCTCCGCTGCCCACGCACGCCCAGCCATAGTAGATCCCTGTGCTGATGTCGTCAGGGAGGTCCTCCACCACTGAGTCTGGGAAGTTGGCTGATCAGAAGAGACATTAAAAGGACATTTAGGTCAATCAATCCGATGTGTCTGCAGTGAGTGTCCATTTGATCACTAACCCACTCAATAAAAAGGACAAGGTATTTCCATGTTTGGTCGACTTCACTGGCAATAGTCTTGACTTAACAGTAGTCTTATAATAATAATAATAATAATAATAATAGTAATAAGACCAAGTAGTCCCATTCCATCAAATGCATTTCTGCCTGACCTTGTAAGGAGGCTTTTATCATCTTTCATGTTGGAAGCAGAATCCCTTTAGGCTTCCTTGAATGACATTGAAAACGAAACAATGTGTTCAGCCAAAACAGCTGTACTGGCTAAGGTCACGCACAAGAGAAATGGGTTAGCCTACCATCAGTGGCCCAAAAAAGCCCAGAAAACAGACTTTCAGAGAGAAGAGGTTGCCTATATTCTAATACCTACATTTTTTTTTTGCCTCAATAGTGGCCAATATGAAGGGTTATTTGTGTTTTCCATTTGATGGCTTTCCCATCTGTGTGGGCCTACTGAGAATGACCTAGCATCGCTGCAACAAAGAGAGTTTTGACCAGGGGCACAACTTTCACTGGGGACAACTTTCACTGTACGCACTACCCTCTGTAGCTCTTTGCGGTCGGAGGCCGAGCAGTTGCCATACCAGGCAGTGATGCAACCAGTCAGGATGCTCTCGATGGTACAGCTGTAGAACCTTTTGAGGATCTGAGGACCCATGCCAAATATTTTCAGTCTCCTGAGGGGGAATAGGTTTTGTCGTGCCCTCTTTCACGACTGTCTTAGTGTGCTTGGACCATGATAGTTTGTTGGTGATGTGGACACCAAGGAACTTGAAGCGCTCAACCTGCTCCACTACAGCCCTGTCGATGAGAATGGGAGCGTGCTCGGTCCTCTTCTTTTTCCTGTAGTCCACAATCATCTCCTTTGTCTTGATCACGTTGAGGGAGAGGTTGTTGTCCTGGCACCACACGGCCAGGTCTCGAACCTCCTCCATATAGGCTGTCTCGTCGTTGTTGGTGATCAGGCCTACCACTGTTGTGTCATCTGCAAACTTAATGATGGTGTTGGAGTCGTGCCTGGCCATGCAGTCATGAGTGAACAGGGAGTACAGGAGGAGACTGAGCATGCACCCCTGAGAGGCCCCCGTGTTGAGGATCAGCGTGGCGGATGCGTTGTCAGTATAGCAACGTAACGTTATTGATCTGTCAGTTTCTCTAGCCAATTCTCAACTTTTCACACTGACACAGTATAAACAGCTCTACAGGCTACACTGTCATGGTGTATAGTGGCACACAACACTATGCTCATCATGTCTTAGCAGGATCAGATGGTGACAGGTGTCCCTGCAGGGTCAGACAGCCAGGGAAGACCAGTCGATGGAGCTCAGCTGAATTTTGCAGTATATTATAACAGTCAGTGAATGGATACAAAGTTCCATCTTGAGTTGATGGGTAGGCTACAGTCTGGGATCTGGGAATAATGGTAATTTCAATTATTGAACCATTGATTATTTTCTTAGATAATATAATGTATAAATGTACACCAAGGTAATTCTTTGTCATGCCTCATCTGAGCAGGATCAGATAGTGACAGGGTCTCAGCAGGGATGGAAGACCTGGGAGACACTATTGATGATGATGATGAATGGATACAGATATGTTTGAATGCCCAGTCATATTCATATAATCTCAGACATAAATTACTGCAGTTTAAGACCATCCATTGAACATACACTACTATATGCCAGTGAAACTGATTATGATGCACTCAGAAATAGAATTCCTCTGCTGGAGGTGTAAAACACAGGGGGCATATTTGCATATGTTATGATCTTGTGAAGGCTGGCTGAATTCTGGCAAAGCGTGTGTTATTTTATCTCCGCATGTCTAGATTCTACCTACTCCCTGTTTTTGTTTGCTTGGAAATGTTGATACTAGAGACTTATCAGAAGAAACTGTGTAACCTAGCATGTTAATTATTTATGCATAGTCACTTTAACTCCACCCACATGTACATATTACCTCAACTAGCCGGTGCCCCCGCACATTGACTCTGCACCGGTACCCCCCTGAATATAGCCTCCCTACTGTTATTTTATTTTACTTCTGCTATTTTTTTCAACACTTTTTTGTTGTTGTTGTTTTATTTTACTTTTTTACTAAGAAATAAATGTATTGTTGGTTAAGGGCTGTAAGTAAGCATTTCACGGTAATGTCTACACCTGTTGTATTCGGCGCATGTGGCAAATAAAATTTGATTTGATTTATAGCGGCTAAGAAATGCATTGCCATTTATTGGAAGGTTGGTTATCCTCCCACAATGGATGGCAGAAAATGACAAGTTATGCATCACTAGATTTGATTTATTACAAGATTAAGGGTATACTGTGCAACTTTCATAAGGTCTGGGTGCCTTATATGGAATACTGTATGACAAAAGGGGTCTGTATTGAAAACATGAGATTTTTTCAGGTCTCCCAGTCGCAAATAGATACTTTTTTTCCAGGGCACACGAGACACTAGTCTGATTTGTGCCAGTCTCAGTGGACTAATCCATTGAGGAGGCCGCGGGATGCCATGGTCCAAGAACATGGGGGTTGTGGCTCAGATGCACAAGGCACGTCTCTGTCTAGAATGCGCGCTCTCCCGCCATTTCGTGGGTATTCATTGTTTCATAACTTAATTGTGTGCATTGTTTGCTGTGTCTATCAATTCCCCATTACATACATCACCAGTGGTAGCCTACATTTACCGTTAATTCCCATAATTTCTAATATGTAATGTTTGGTTACGGTAATTCCTGTTAATGCATTTAATATATCATTATTACAGTAATTTACCATTCTCATTGTTGGAGTGGCCATGTGTTTTGCAGAACTCACAACCTATGCTACACTTGTGAGAAACACGCGCACTTCACAGAGTAGACATTCCCTAACATAAATATGCATATATGTCCTACAACGCGGCAATAGGATCTCGCTAGCTCGTGTTTTGGTCTGCCCATTATGACTGATTTGTTCCTATTTCACCTCGACTAACCGGTGCCCCTGCACATTGACTCTGTACCAGTACCCCCTGTATATAGTCTCCCTACTGTTCTTTTATTTTACTGCTGCTCTTTAATTATTTGCTATTTTTAACTTAAGTTTTTGTTATTTTCTTAAAAACGGCATTGTTGGTTAAGGGCTTGTAAGTAAGCATTTCACTGTAAGGTCTACACCTATTGTATTCGGCGCATGTGGCAAATGAAATTTGATTTGGGTTTCATTGTTTCAGCGAGACATCCCACTCACTATGTTTCTGGTTCATATACAGTCAATGAACTAACTAAGGCTAACTAACGTTAGTTAGCTAGTTAGTTATGTAACATTAGGTAGCTTGGTAGGGCTTGCGACAGACATTGCAGCCAGCTAACGTTAGCGTAAAACACTAGCCTGGCTGTCTATCAAACGTTAACTTGTTGACGTTAACTAACAACTGTTGGGAATCCTTCTTCAGTCAAATCAAAGGATGCTAAATTAGTTAGATACCTAGCTAAAAGTACTAACGTTAGCTAGCACGTGATGCAACGCAAACCAACGTTAGCTAATGTCGTTAGTTGCCAGCAGCAGTAGTTAAGCAGTAACGTTAGCTAACAAAACAGTGTTAACGTTATGCCGGTGAAACATAACGTTAACTTAACACAATCATACACAAAAAACATTTTGTTAGCTAACGATATGCCGTCGAAGCATACCGTTAAGACAAACATCTTTAGGTGATAACTACCTTGCTAATGTCAACATTAGCTACGTCGTTACCTGTGGGAATCCCTAGTTCTTTGCTTCCTCGCCCGAACCCTCGAACGACTTCCCCCCGGCAGAAATACGGAAGACTCTTCATGTCTCCTTCTTTCCAACTGGAGACGACTTTCAGTTAAAGTTAGTTAGCTAAATGGTTAGCGGGCTGTGTAGCTAGTTGGCTAGCTACCTAGTCAAGCCTACACTAGTGTCTCTAAAAGACCTTGCTGTACCGTTAGCTAACTCAATACACACTGCCGAGGATGACCTCGAAAGACAACTAGCGAGCTTACCACTGACAACTAGCAACAGAGATGACTCACTGCCAGTGCCAACAAGGACCACAGTTCGCCCTTTAATGCTGAACGCCGAAAATGACAGAACAGTTCACTTAGCTATGCTAAATTAGCTTGATATACTTCTCTTCACCCCCCCTTGAGCTTTGGCCAAGTAGCTAGCTAGCTAGGTAGCTAGCCTATTTGAAGTTGTGAATGTGATTGAGGTCGGTTCTTCTTCTTCTGTGGATTTTATATGGCGGTTGGCAAACCAACTTTAAGGTGCATCACCGCCACCAACTGGACTGGAGTGTGGAGCGGGAAACCAAGACTGTTCTCAGGGCGGGTCTGCGTGTTTTACTAGCAGAAGTGACTTATCGTAGCAGGTGAGCAGAATTTACACAGCAGGTTAGGATAATTAACGTGTCAGGTTAGGATAGTTAGGTTATGGTTAAGAAAAGGGTTAGGGTTAGCTAAAATGCTACAATTGTCCTCGATGCGAATCGAACATACAGTATCTAGCTACAACCAGGTCTGCCCTTAGAACAGTCTAGGTTTTCACTAATGCCATGCTGCTAAAAACGCAGCAGGCATAACATAATTGGAACAGATTTGGAAGGTAGGGGAGTTTGTGATGCTCCTCGTTTGGTGCGACACAGACAGGGTGGTGTGAGTGGTGAAACAGAAGAGTCGTTGTCTGTTCTTTTGAGTTTTTAGTTTTTTATTGAATATTAAAACATACAATCTACCTGCAGTGAAGCCGCTCAACACATTTTATTACATTCAGTTATCTAACAGACTCGCATCCAGAGCGACCCACAGAAGCAACCAGGGTCAACGCCCTGCCCAAGGGCACGTCGACAGATCTCCCAACAAGTCAAAACGGGGACCCGAACCAGCGACCTATCGGCCACCGGCCCAAGCTCCCAACCGCCAGGCCACCAACCCTCCAAGACACTTTGGTTTTAGAAGTGGGTGAGGGGGGGCATTATTTGTAAAATTCAGAATTTGCGGAGGAGCGCATGCGTTTGAGCGCATGTGTGGCACTATTTACGTGTGTCCACGTGTGCTTTTGAATGCGAGCGTGTGTATATGCATGTGTACACGCGTACACGCAGGTGCTTGTACGCGTGTACACATGCATATACACATGCTCGCATTCAAAAGCACACGTGGACACACATATCAGCCTCAGGAAAACAGGCAATTGGATGTAACAGCATTGCCCCTCAGTGTAATTCAAACATACTTTTTTGTTTAGTTTATTTTGACTTTATTTTTTACTTTTATCTTTGACCGTCATTCTATCCCCCACCCAGCAACTCCACTCCCACTTGTCTCCAGTTCCACATCCCAACCCTCAGCCCAGCCCACCTATCTCTGCTGGCCACCCTCTTTGGATTTCTACGTGCCATATATCTTTCAACTATACTGTGATGTTTAACATACAATTTGAATCTATCTAATCGAATAGAATCCACAGATTGCGAGTTGAAGATAAATACTTTTACTAAGAGTATTAGTATATTAGTAATTGACTGACCAGGTCTCTCCAGATCTCCCAACAATGCTATTTCTTGGGCCAATTTTAGATTAATGTTATGCTCTTTCAGCCATTCCTGCACCTGAGACCAGAAACAGGCTACCGGAGGGCAATACCAGAACAAATGGTCTATTGATTCTGTATCCTCACAACAAAATCTGCAGAGCTGCAATGATTGTATACCCCAAATATTCAACATTTTGTTGGTGACAAGAATTATGTACAATTATTTTAGCTGAAAAGCACAAAGTATTGGATCTTACTTCATTTTACATACACCCTGTTCTATGGAATCGATACATCAAAAATATCTTCCCAGCTATTTTGCAATCTGTTCAGAGGAGACTGCGTGAATCAGACCTTCATGGTCGAATTGCTGCAAAGAAACCACTATTAAAGGACACCAATAAGAAGAAGAGACTTGCTTGGGCCAAGAAACACGAGCAATGGACATTAGACCAGTGGAAATCTGTCCTTTGGTCTGATTAGTCCAAATGTGAGATTTTTGGTTCCAACCAACGTGTCTTTGTGAGACGCAGAGTAGGTGAACGGATGATCTCCGCATGTGTGGTTCCCACCGTGAAGCATGGAGGAGGGGTGATGGTGTGGGGGTGCTTTGCTGGTGACACTGTCTGTGATTTATTTAGAATTCAAGGCACACTTAACCAGCATGGCTACCACAACATTCTGCACCGATACGCCATCCCATCTGGTTTGCCTTTAGTGGGACTATCAATGACCCAAAACACACCTTCAGGCTGTGTAAGGGCTATTTCACCAAGAAGGAGAGTGATGGAGTGCTGCATCAGATGACCTGGCCTCCACAATCACCCGACCTCAACCCAATTGAGATGGTTTGGGATGAGTTGGACCGCAGAGTGAAGGAAAAGCAGGCAACAAGTGCTCAGCATATGTGTGAACTCCTTCAAGACTGTTGGAAAAGCATTCCAGGTAACTACCTCATTAAGCTGGTTGAGAGAATGCCAAGAGTGTGCAAAGCTGTCATCAAGGCAAAGGGTGGCTACTTTGAAGAATCTCAATTATAAAATATATTTTGATTTGTTTAACACTTTTTTGGTTACTACATGATTCCATATGTGTTATTCATAGTTCTGATGTTTTCACTATTATTCTACAATGTAGAACATAGTAAAAATTAAGAAAAACCCTTGAATGAGAAGGTGTGTCCAAACTTTTGACTGGTACTGTAAGTTGTCCAGTATGAGGTTTTGTGCCGAATACATTATGTTGTTACAGGTGTCAAGCTTATGGGCATGTGGCAGCAGTGTGTAGGAGGGAGGTTCCTAGGTGTGACAAGTGTGCAGAAGGGCATGAGACAAAGGAATGTGTAGCATTGGGGAAAGTAGTGGAAAATGTTAATTTTAGGGGTGCCCATGGGGCTGGGGATCAGAAATGTCCGGTGCGAGAGAGTCAGGTTGAGGTTTCCAGGGTTAGAGTAGTGCAGAAGTTGTCGTATGCTGAGGCAGTGAAAAAAGTAGAGGAAAGATGGGTCAAGGGGGAGGGATCCTGAGAGGAGTGGTGTGAGTAGTAGATATGTACCAGTACAGAGGGATAGGCCAACAAGTGATATATGTTTCAGTAAGATTGGATTTTTAGCATTTATAGCAATGGTTATCAACTGTACTGCAGGGATAATTGAGGATGTGGTGGCAGCTGCAGAGAGGTATTTGGGTGTGCGAGACTTCAGAAGAGTTACATGATGTGTTAAAGGTGGCGTCCCATCCTTTCAGGTTGTTGGCCTGAGGTAGGACTAAATATATTTAAATAGTGGAGTAGGGTGGTGTTATTTTATTATTATTATTATTATTGTTATTATTTTTATTTTTTGTGAGTGTAGTGTTAGATGGTAGGGTATTCTTTTATATATATTTTTTTTTTCAACAGAGTATAAGGGAGTTGTACTCATGTCTAGTAGGTGGCAGTAATGCAACATTTATTGGATGCCAACTGCCGTTAAATCTCATCGAAGAAGAAGAAAAATAAGTTAAACCTCATCAAAGAAGAAGAAGGTCGGGGGAAAATTGCGGAAGCTGATGTTCTGTTTGAATTAGATGGAGTGTCGAGTGGAGATGAGAATAATTGGATTACAGTGTCGAATGCAAGAGGAAATAAGAGGAGTAAAGTGATAGTGGGAACTAGTAAATCCAAACCTAGTTCTGATTCTTTTTTGGTTGGAATAAGGTTTTGGATCGATGTTGTTACCTGGGAGATCCGTTTGAAGTCTCTATTAAAAAACGACACTACACTACAAAACGGGGGAGTTTACGGCACGAGATTATGAGACGTTTGTTTTACGGCACTAGACTACAACACGTTGTTTACTAAAACTACAACACGGGGGATTGTGGGTAAATTGGTCATATTTCTGTTAGACTGGGCTGCAGGGGGAGACAGAGAAACAGACACAGAAAAAGGGGAGATTTGGACACGAATCTTCTAGTTGTTAAAGCGGCTGTTGTTTGAAAATGAAACTATTTGTTGAGATGTAGTGAATTTATAAATTAGATATATGTTGACGGATTATAATAAATTAAATTAAATGACGGATTAAAATAAATAAAATGTTATTGAGCTATTTAGTCCTGAGTTAAGTCTTAGAGCGAATATGAGTGGGGGAATATTGAATGTATTGCATAAACTGCTAAATTCTTTTTCTGTTTCTATGCTCTTTTGTCATATGAGAGGAACGAGAGGAGAGAGAGGGAGAAAGAAAGAGAGGTGCTGACGTGACATCACGTGACAAGGGGAGGATCGAGTCAAAAGGTTTTGAGGCTGGTTCTGTTTGCAAAATCTTCCCCTACAGGATATTTGATGTTATGACAATTTCACAGAGGCTTGGCAACAGACTGATCATTTGAATAAAATTTGCATTTTGGAGTCTCTGTGCATCACTTGGGTTTGATTGCAGTTGTGTTGGAAATCGAGTACTGACATTATTCTGTAAAATTAAGATAATTAGGTGCTTATAGAGCAAGGGGGTTTATGGGTATTGTAGTGATTGTAGGGGTAGAGGGCTTTGTTTTTAGGATTGGTAAGATAGCCACTCATTGATAAATTGGTAAGATAGGATATAGAAATAAAAAATTGGTTTTAATTATTCATAATTTTTAATTGATTTTTTAATATTCATATTTTTGTTGATTGATTTTAAAAAAATGTTTTGGGGTTGTTTGGTTTATATTAATAATTAAAGGGGGGAAGCCATAGGCTATATAGTCTAAAATAAAATAATTCACAATAAAGGAATATAAAAGAGTAGTTACA